AACGAACATCCACGTCCAGTTGTTCTTCAACCACCACAAGATCTTCGACTTTCTCTTGAAATGAAACGACAACATCGGAAAGACGTTGCACGTACGGGTCCAATTTGTAACTTTCCCAAATCAGTGCAATTCCCTAAGTTCGAATTGAAATGTTAAAAGTAACATATATTTTATATTATTATTATTATTTGCCAAGACTGAAAACTGACCTCGGAAATAAGCGTTAAAACATCGTTGCGCATTCCTGCGACCAAAGGTACGATACTGGCTTTATCTTCGATCTAGGAAGAATTACAAATTATGGAATATAATCGAAACAAAATTGCATTGTTGGCAATACAATACAATTTTACGACATAAATTATGATTCATCATTCAATAAGGTACATTACAAAGAATGCAAACAAAAGTTTTACATGTTCATAGCCGATGCTAAGAAATTGTACGATAATCTTTATCTGCACTTTAGATATTATAGAAAAAGAGAAACGCAAGATATCACCATTGCAAGCAACTTTCGGAATGTGCGGATAGCCAAATCTTTCAAATTAATTATAACTATGTAATGTAAACTTCATACGAAATAGAACAGAAATTGTGATACTTTTTAGGTTCACTGAATTCAAAAACTTAAGAAATCAGAAGAACTCTGGAAGCTTCAGAAAACATGAAATATAACAATGTTGTATATTTCAATTGAAAATGAAAAAAAAAAAAACACCCGACTTCTTTCAGGTTCCCGCACATCCTTGCAATTCACCTACTCATACTTCAGACGAATTTGTACTAGTTTCTTTTAATTGTTCATTGTACTAAAATAAAATCGTATCATCTTGCAGTACATATTTTTCTACAAGAGCTAAGCAGGCATACAATAATAATTTGCAAATGTAGGCAAGATGCATAATGCCTGAAAGCATCATGTATGACTACCTTCAATGCGGGGCAGTGGGGGCTCCGATTGGTAAGCTAAAAATATTGGAGATCCAAGGAATTAGAAATATCAGTATTACTAATATGTACCTTTAACCTGGCTCTATTTCCTATTATTTTCTATTATTTTAGTCTTATCTTTAAAGATTTATGTTATTACAACAATGATAATCACGGTGCAGAAACATTCAGAACATGAAACTTAGTTCCTATTTAAACGACGAAGTCTCTTTAAAATTTACGCCAACTTCAGAATAGTGTAATAAAAATTAAGTAAACAAACAAAGCGTTACCTTCTCAAGTGTTCTCTCGTAAGTTCTGATGCTGTCGATCAAGCTAATTGCAAATGGATACAGCTGATTGGCTTGATGCGCTTTATTCACAATTGGTAAAGGTACACGAAAACCGAGGTTCCTTAAGTTCCTCACTTCCTTCGATAACGTGATAATTTCAGGAAGAAAATTCACTTTCAATTTCAATACGTTGCCTCGTGCCGTTCGTGATCGTACATTGTCTATCGTAAAAATCCTTCCGGTAACACCGAAATTTCTTTGTTGTACTTTCCGTGCCCACTCATTAAATATCTCTTGAGTAGACAGTTTCATACGAAAACTGTCTCCATCCGCCTTTAATTTTTGACCTTCGACATAACTCTCCCATCCTTTTCCTGGTAAAGAAATGGAAATGAAAACTATATTAAAACATATAAAATTATATCAATAATTACCTAATACATCTTCAACCCGTTTTAAGTACATTGTGAGCTGATAATCTATTTGTTTAACCCAAATAATGGATCCGGCGACGGGAGGCAAATCTCTAACTATACTCATGTTACAGCATTTACTTTGTCCATATTGAACCTGTATCGACAAAGCAATTATTAGCTGAAATTTACGGTACAAATATTTTTTTTATTCTAAATTTAAATACCTTAAACTTTTCGTGTAAAGCTTCGATATCGTCTTTCACTCTTTGTATTAACTGTGTCTGGTATTCCCTAATAGCTCCCCGAATATGCGGTCTCACGAAAAGCGCATTAAAGCGTGAAAAGATTCTAAACATTTCGTTTGCATTCTTCGCAGTACCTAATTGATCTCTGAGGTGAGCCGTGATTCGTGCTTCAACTCTTTCGATTCGTTCTTCGTACCTATGAACAGCAGCTTTCCAGGAGTCAAGACCCTCTTTGGTAATATCAAGGCAATCGATTTCTTTCACGTTCTCGTATGCCAAATTTACTTCGTTGATGGCGTTTGCATCTGCCGCATTTAAAGCAAATTCAACCTTATCGTTATCAGAATTTTCCAACGTGGCGTTACTATTATTTTGATGAACCGTAGGTCTAAGTACTCGAACGATAACTGTCCTGAGTTGCTCGTGATGTCGACGGAATTGTCGCATGTGTTCCATTCTAGCTTCTAACTTTTTGTGCATCGGCGAAATTCTCCATACCATTTTCATGTGTTCGTCGCGTTTCTTCTTCATAATGTCTCTTAATAGTCCAGTTAACTTTTCGTATTCGTCGTCCCACGTATTAAATACTTCGAAACACTGTCCCATAACTTTTTCAAACTCATCAAATGGAATGTGCATTAACCTTCTTGTACCCAACACTTTTAGAAGTTGCTGTCCTAGATCTCTGGAGATGGCTTCTATCAACTTTAATGCTCTCTGAGTAGGGTATTTTGTGCTTCTAATTTTCCGTAGATGCATAAAAATCTGCTGAATGCTAATTCGTATTCTTTCAAGTTCTGTAGCCGATAGTAAATCGTTAATTGGGAAGTCCTTCATCAGTGGATTGTAGTCATTGACGGTGGCTAACGCTTGTTGCAGACCGGTATCTGTATCAAAACTAACGGTCGCGTGGAACCTCTTCCCATGTTTGAGTATATCCAAAGTTAAAGAAATCTCTATACTCTCTCGTTTCTCTTGTATCCGGTGCAATGCTCTTTCCAGATTTAACCAGAACGAAATCTCTTGGAGAGCAGTGCCCGATTCTGGATCGCGATTTAATTTAGTGACCTGTGCAAAAAAATAAACGATATTATATAGTATAAGATGTATGAAAATAAATAATTTACAGTCTCTTACCTTTTGAATTTCCTTTATCCATCTATTTACACCATTTTGTAGTAAGTTCAGGAATGTTGAATCTTCAACTTTATCGCCGAAATCGGCAACCTTGGGCTTACGATTTTCTTCCGCGCATTGTTTAATTACTTGTGCGACAACTGGATGAATTTGAAGCGAAATTTCAGGAATATCTATATTTTGTTGTAAATGTAGTAAACCCATTTCAAGTTCTGCTATTTTCTTTTCGACGGTCGGTGCCATTTTATCGCCGTCTCGGTCCGCGCGACCAGTTTCTTTTACATAGCTTTTAAAATATGGAGCCATAGTTTTGCTTATAGCATGCAATGTTTCGTAAGGTGGTCCATCCGAGAAGGTTACTAGACGCACTTGCGAATGAATACTCTTATCAGCTTCAATTATCGCTCCACGTTTAGTTATAACTAAGGAGGCCATTTTAGGACTAGTAAAATGTATCTCATTTGATATATAGAAAACAGAATTCTCTTTTTCTTCATCTGTTTCATTGGTATCTTCCTCTGGAAAATTTAAGTAATATTGATAATTAACCATTAATTATTAAGAAATTAATTAGAATAATAATAATAGATATTATTCTTACAGAAATGTGTGTAAAATTACACAATGTTCTGCAATAAAATGTAACGATTCCGAAAATTTCGAAAAGCTTTTTCGAAAACTATTTAATTATGGCGGGCATGAGATGCGCGATACTAATGAAAATAGGTCATGAGTTTAGTTTGGGCATTTGTTTTCTTTTTTTTCATTCGTAAAAAGATTGGACTTCGTTTATAAATACGAACAGGAAAGTTTTATCGGCGCGAAACATTGCGCACCGGCACATCTTTGCGAGAAACCGATAAAAATATGAGAATAGAATATCGAAAACAATGTTACGATGTCGTTACGTGTATCGATCATATTCAGGTATGAGTCATATTCAGGCGAAATGTAAATGCATCGGGCGACAAGTGTCGCATTAATTTTCCGAATACGCTTCCTGTCGTCGCGGCTTAATGTACCGTTGTATCGAAAGACCGCAATGGAGGATATCGCAACAGGCCAGAGTGCAAAATTTACGATGGTAAATCGGTCGATGATACGTCGCGAATCATCGGTTCCACGTACCTTTACTGGAATTCCTTTGTATGTAAAGCGCCCACACTTGGGAATCATTCAAAAATTTTTTTATACACTCTTGATTGGTCTTGTCGTCGAGGGCAGAAACGAACGCGGGTGGTACCACATCTTCGTCAGGTAGAAGTACCAGTACAACCTTTTTTAAATAATTAGCGAAATCCCAATATCCTACGACTGTAACGATCTGAGACTCCGGGGACGGTTCCCCGGAGCCGTCCAAGGAGTCACCCATCCCGCCGTAATCGGTATCGCAAAATCTTTAAAATCTTGAGCGGGTGATCGGCCGACCCCCGCTCTAGGATGAACTGTCACACAAGTGATGACGAACTATAGAAGGCATAGACTACAGCGCACAAGTACTTACAATCTGTAACGATTTTCTAGCGGTGGCGCCATTTTCTTAATCCCTATCTTATCCATTGTTACGGCCTATTTCCATGTGCACGTCGATCCAATCGCGATTAGATCATTGGTGGATTCAGCAGGGACAACTGTTGAGTGGCTTTCTTGGATTCTCTGCTTTGATTCGTCTAGCTCTAGTCGAATAGGTGAATCAAAGCAGAGAATCCAAGAGAATCAGTCAATGTACAACTAATTTCGGATGTAATTGAATTTCGAGAAAAAGGACTTTCAAGTTTTCAATTTTTTTTGACGAATTTAAAAATTTCGTCCACTTGCACGGGGCGCTTAAACTACGATCGTGATCCTGGCAAAAGTTTAAAGGAATGTTTTTATATTTGCATGATGAAAACGTTACTTTAAGTCGCATTCGAGGTTCATATATATCTATATATATGTTATGTAGCATGATATGCGCACGCGTGTGGACTATGAAGCAGGGAAAGGGTGGTTGGAAACAGCAGGTGTAGGATCATTGGAGTGATCTTAACGAAAATTGTAATACGCCAAAAATTATTGCGGAAACGATTAACATTTATAAAAGATTGCAGTTTCTTGGGAGAAAAGTTTCATAGTATTAGGAACGCATGTAATTGCAGGTGTCTATAACGAAAAGACATTTCCACCGGCTCTTACCGCGTAACTGTCTCACGATCGATTTACCTTGCGCTTATTCTTCTACGATGGAAGCATTGATACCCGTAATAAATAAATTACAAGATGTATTTAACACTGTCGGCTCAGATGCTATACAATTACCTCAAATTGTCGTGCTTGGTACTCAGGTCAGTTGGTATTTTTCAAATAACAATAAATAGAAAATTCATAGGAGCTCCTATGATTACGATCTTAATTTAAATTCTTTGTCCTTTCGATAAATAAGATCTAACAATCGAAAATGATTCATAATTTCTATTAGTCTTTAGTATTAGTTATAGTTTCATCTTGAAGTATTGACAAATGCATGTTAGGATTATATTGATGTTTTGTAATTGTATAGAATAGTTTTAGAGCATTGTTAAACATATATATTAATTTCTCCAGAGTTCAGGAAAGTCATCTGTAATTGAAAGTTTGGTTGGCCGATCATTTTTACCACGAGGTACTGGAATAGTTACCCGACGTCCTCTGGTACTGCAGCTGGTCTACACACCTAAAGATGAGCGTGAACATCGAAATGCAGAGAATGGAACGCTGGATTTAAACGAGTGGGGCACATTTTTACATGCAAAAAGCAGAATTTATACAAACTTTGATGAGATTCGTAAAGAAATTGAATCTGAAACGGAACGAATGGCTGGAACTAATAAAGGAATTTGTCCAGAACCGATTAATTTGAAAATATATTCAACGTCAGTTGTTAATCTCACGCTTATAGATCTTCCTGGTATCACAAAGGTACCAGTTGGAGATCAACCTGAAGATATTGAAAGTCAAATACGTCAACTTGTTTTAAAGTATATATGCAACCCTAACTCAATTATATTAGCTGTTGTTACTGCTAATACCGATATGGCTACAAGCGAAAGTTTAAAGCTCAGCAAAGATGTAGATCCGGATGGACGACGTACTTTAGCTGTTGTGACTAAGTTAGATCTTATGGATGCTGGTAATTTTATTATTTAAATTTCACATTTTGTTAAAATGAATTATAAAAACCTTGTATTATTTGTTGCAGGAACCGACGCTATAGATATATTATGCGGTAGAGTAATTCCTGTAAAACTAGGAATTATTGGAGTAGTAAATCGTTCTCAGCAAGACATAATGAATAATAAAAATATTCAAGATGCATTGAAGGATGAAGCTGCATTCTTGCAACGCAAGTATCCTACTTTAGCAAACAGAAATGGAACACCTTATTTAGCTAAAACTTTAAATCGCTTACTCATGCACCATATTCGGGATTGTCTCCCAGAGCTAAAGGTAATAATGCTATTCGTAAATACTAATTATTTACAATACATAGCTAGAAAGAACTAAAATGAGCATAATTCGGTAGAATTTATATTTTTTGAAAACAGACGAGAGTAAATGTGATGGTCTCGCAATTTCAAACCCTACTTAACTCGTACGGCGAAGATGTTGGCGACAAGAGTCAAACGTTACTTCAAATTATTACTAAATTTGCAAGTAGTTATTGCTCCACAATCGAAGGAACAGCTAGAAACATAGAGACAACGGAATTGTGTGGCGGCGCTCGAATTTGTTACATTTTTCATGAAACGTTTGGCAAAACGCTGGACTCTATTCATCCGCTGGCGGGTCTCACAAAAATGGATATTTTAACGGCTATTCGAAACGCGACTGGTCCAAGACCTGCTCTATTTGTACCAGAGGTTTCGTTTGAATTATTAGTTAAACGACAAATTCGAAGACTCGAAGAGCCCTCTTTACGGTGCGTGGAACTCGTACACGAGGAAATGCAAAGAATTATACAACACTGCGGTACCGAAGTACAACAAGAGATGCTACGTTTCCCAAAGTTACACGAGCGCATTGTCGACGTTGTAACACACTTGTTACGTAGACGACTCCCGCCCACTAATCATATGGTTGAAAATTTGGTTGCAATAGAATTAGCGTACGTTAATACCAAGCATCCAGATTTTCATAAGGATGCCGCCCTTGTATCGTCCTTACTAAAAAATTCTGATGGAGATTCTGTTAAACAAAATAGAAGACTGCCTTCGTCATCGACTACTATAATTACAAACGACACGGTAGTAAGTATTTATTCAACAAATGTAAAATTATTTAAATATTTTTAACGTAGTGACTAATCACTTTCTTACTATACCTTCGCAAAGAGTAAAACCGATTATTTTATGTTTAACTATAAAAAGACGTAACGCTCGAAATGCCCATATCTGTGCATCAGTTTTACGGGAGTGCCGCGTAACTAAACACGTAAAATGTCCTTAACAGAATGTAAAGTCAGTTAATAACAGTCAAGACGAAGTGGCATCTTTTTCCGAGCAGAATAAGGATCAACAGGGACATCAGAATCATTGGTTATTAAGTAATTTATTACCTCAAGGAAGGTCCGATTCAACTAGTTCTATGGATGGTTCGCCTGTAAGAAATCGTGAGAACAGTAGCTCTCCCAATTCGATTCCAATAATCGATGTACAAAAACCTTCTCCGCAGCAGAAGGCAATAAATCTACTGCCGGAGGTGCCGATGCAGACATCTCGCAAACTGAGCGATCGAGAACAACGAGACTGTAATGTTATTGGTACGAATAAAAGACGTCATATTTTATCACGAAATAGTGCTTTATTTCGTTTATTTATATAAACGTTTAATGTTGCAGAAAGGCTAATAAAATCATACTTTTATATCGTACGAAAATCTATACAAGATAGCGTACCAAAAGCTGTCATGCATTTCCTAGTCAACTATGTAAAAGATAATTTACAAAGCGAACTCGTAACCCATTTGTATAAATCGGATCATGCCGAAGTACTCTTAAACGAGAGTGAGCATGTTGCCATCAGGCGCAAGGAAGCAGCAGACATGCTAAAGGTATGCCTACACAAATGACAGTGTTCTGTTTTGTATAATTTAAATATTTTTAATCGATTATCAATGTATATATGTATGTTTTGTATTCCAGGCACTTACTCAAGCTGGTCACATTATTAGTGAAATTCGAGAGACCCATATGTGGTAACTACTTATACACCACCTGTCTACACCATCATGTTATAGTCCAATATAGACAGTTTGGCGTTTTAGTAGATAAATTGATGAATGAAGTAACGTGTATGTCGAACCAATGTATATAATTTTTATTTTTCATGCAAGCAGTGTCAACACTACAACAATAATTCTTAAGGTCTACGCATTTTCTTTTAGTTTCACTTGATAAGCGCAAAAGAACACAATATCGTAATTACGTGCATTTATAGCAAGTGTTGATATGTATTAAGAAACTGAAGTATTACCAGTAATACCAATGGTGCTTATATCACATCTGTACTTCAAAAGCCTTACTAAATTTATGCTCAACATTCATTTACATCGGAAACATCAACTTCTTCGATAATTGTAAATTCTAAAAACAAGGTCAAACGATCGTGAATGCAGGGCAGTTTGTATTTTTTGTAACATTTTGCACTGCTCGTAGGGGTCAAAGATACATAATGTTTAATACAACAAAAAATTTCTTTCAACACTTTGTGATATAAATCCCAAATCATGTAACGTTATGTATGTAGAGAGAGAGAGAGAAATATAAAAATTTTGTTAACTTATTATTGGGAGGTACAGCCAAACTGATTGTAACATTGAATGATACATTGGTGTGTTTTGATAGTCTCGATGTTGGGTGCAGCGAAAAACTTGTCAATAAAGTATATATGCTCAAGTAATTGAGGCAGAGCCTGTGCGTATTGCCTTTCGTACATCTTGGAAATCGCGTTTAATCGTTTGTCAATTGATTTTCGAAGTTGATTGTTTAATTTTTTACAATCGATTTTCTCATTACACTTGCGACATAGTGTACTCGATACGTTCCGCGTATCTTTTTCATTCAAACTAAGTGTACCGATTATTTCTGAACATGCCCTGCATTTATAATTCATTGTTTCAGGTAACGGATACTGCCAGTTTTGCGTGCAAGCTTCGCATGCGCACAGAAAACGATACTTTTTCCACAAATACTCGCGTCTTTGTAATCTGCCTTCGGTAAGAAAATGTGGCCCATAGCAATCAAGAATTTCGGTACCCTTACCGATAAAGCTTAATGTTCTTACCACGACTGTTCCTGCAAAAGTGATTCACGATTATACGTCAAAGCTCGTAGAACACAAAGACTTCGTCGTTCTTAAAAGGCACATGCTTTTTACCTGATGGATAAGAATGACGAACGACGTTCGGGCAACAGCTGTGATTTACAAGACTGACCGATGGATAGATAGCCCCGCCAACAAGTCTCGGTTCCCAAACATGAGTCTCCTTGTCGTACACGTTCTCTACGATCTCGTAGGCGTTGCAATTAATCGCCTGTAAATGATGCAATGTTCCTACAGCTAAGGAGAGAAGAGTTTCCTTCAAGCAAACAACGTCCAATCTACTCAAGGCGAAAGTAAAGCATTTTGCTAAAAAGATTGCCTCGATAGCGCGAATAAGGTTCATGTTCGGTTCCAAAGTCGCGCAATGAGTTTCTAACGCTAACACGGTGCGATAATCGTGGGGAGTGTACACCTCACTGATCCCTAATTTGCTGGATATTTTATTTACGCTTGTAGTGTGATACCGAAGGAAATTGTCATTCAGAAATGGAATATCGTCTTCCGTATTGTTATTGTTATTCGTTTTTTCAGCGTTTGAAGATAAGAACCCCACGATCGTCATTCTATAGGCCAGTAACAAGTGCGTAGCTTGACGCTGCGTTTGCTCGGAATCGTTCTCGTAAAAAGCGTCGAATACGGAACATTCGTATCGATGGTACATCTGCCATGCTTCACGGCGACACTTCTCCGAACAGAAAGACACCTGTAATAATATAAACGTGCTCGTGGTTTCAAGAGTAGATGCGAAGGTAACTATTAAAATGGCAGGAACTGTACTGAGCAGGGATGGACAAACTGTATTTGCTCAGTTGTTGATGATATTTCAACTGAAAAATCATCGATACGTGCCCATCCCTGGTATCGAGTAAGGTGATCCCTGATTACTGACCGTTCGACACAAATGACAGGGAATCTTAACAACGTCGATCAATTTAAGGGTGACGTGACAATGTAAACAATTTCTGTCTAGCGCCTCTTTATTTGTGCTGAAAGCAAAGGTTGGATCTACGATGAGAACGCTTCCCGCGTTAATGTCCCTGGTGGCAACGAGATGTCTGCCTCTTCTCTCATCGAATTGCAGAGTCACAGCATCAGAGCAACTTTTAAGAATGTTGTGCCGCTTCCCTTCAACGGTTGGTGCTTCCTGGCGACCTCGATTCGCCAATGGGTCCTCCAAGGATGAACTTTGCTTCGAGTTGTGTTTTCTACGCGCTCTCCTGGCTCGCGAGGACAACGACTTCAAATTTTTCGCGCACTCGCTCTCTAAATGTACGCACGTGTTCCTACGTTCCAAGAAATCGTTCATACTTTCTACGGTTTTATTGTAAAAGTTCGCTGGAAGCGCAAGCATACATTCACAGTACTTGAGACATTTCGCGAAAGCCTTCGAGTCGTACCAATGTCGTGCGCAGTCTACGAGCGCGTCCAGGAATAATCTACTACTCACACTGGCCGTAAACAGTGTTTCGATGAGGAGGCTAATTCTATTTTCCTCATCTCGCGTAACATCATTCTCGTCAATCATTCGACTTTTATTGTAAAGCTCTGTTGCTTTAACATCATCCTTACCCGTGTACGAATCAACGATCTTCAGGTTCTCTATGCACGGTATGTCCATGAGAACCTTTATCATTCCTTCTCTGTCTCCATTCGTAGACGATTCTTTGAAACGACTGGCGAATGGTTCTACCGTCGCAGCATCGTAAGCGGTCTTGAAGAACTCGCTAAACTTTGTAAACCTGCAAAGAATTTTGAAAGATGAAAAAACATTGTATGGGTGATCTTAAAATAAGTGTCCAAACTTTATTATACTATTAACAAAAATGGTTAAATATTAAAAGAAATTACATACTAGTAAATAGTAATTTGTTATTAAATAAATTTTCACTTAAATCTTTAATTGTATTATGTTTCATCAGTTAATCTTATCCGATTTTCTAGATTTCTAATATGCGTGGCAATCTAATGATTGTCACATAACTTCAGCGGCCGTGTTTCTAGTCGACAAACCTTAATTTAGGTCTCTAAATTTACCGATGTAATTTAATCGAAGACTGAAATAGTTTGCGCGATAGTTTCTCATTTCCAGGTACACGCAGTAACATAACTTTCTCTGAACGATATTCCAATGTACGATTTCAAGCATTTCTACGATCAGTACTCTACCCGACAAATCAATCAATTCCGTCACTCTCTTTGTAAACGTTTGAACGTAACGTAGATCATATTTTACATCTTGTTTTAAAGATGTTCGCTTACCCCTTTGTAAAAGACATTTTACGATCTCGATGCAAACAATGAATCGTAATTAATTAACATTACATTGTCGCACGCACTTTTATTGCAGGTAGTACAAGACACCAGACGAATGAGCTGTGACGAATTCTAAAATTAGATGTCGGAAATTTTGCTCCGGGACACCTTGTGCTTTATTTCAAAACTTGAGTTTAAGAAAAATAATCAGATAGATAAAACAGAATCGCGCAAAACATTAAAAATAATGCAGACGCGTAAAATAATGCCTTCGAATTATTTCAATGAAAAGTAATTCGATTTAAGTATCGTGCTACAAATCAATAATTTCGGTGATTCAGTAATTGATTTCGGAGAAATCATAGCTGAAACTAGATATTCAATAATTTTAGTTTATTGTAGTTTATTTTGCGAATAATTGATGTGCTCGTAAAGTCATCGATACGTTTTAAAGAAATTTAAAAATTGAATTTTAATACAGTTTTTCTGCGATCGATGTCACTACTGTGCTTAACCATTAAGAGCATCAGAATTCAGACGTGATCAGACGTCACATGATAGAAACGGGTGTGAGTACCTCCCTTCCGATACCTGCGTGAAATGTTCTTATTTTAATATATTGTAAAAACCTGTGGCTGACTTATGCCTTAGACTCGTTAATATTAATCTGTTTATACATCAACGATTCCCTGAATTATTGCGCGCAACAACGGCACCAAAAACAGCGCGATGAGATACATTTTGGGTTCTACTTTTGCAACCACTGCCTCCGTTACAATCATAATACTAGGTATTAATTCATCTCTATCCTCTTTTAAATAAAACTAAAGATCATAAAAGTTGATAACTCGCAGATTGATTTAACCAACTGCTAGTGTAATTTGAACAAGATTGTCAGTTGTGTATGTGATCTTCATTCTTGTAAAGTATACTTATACATATATTTTTTTAAATAATACTATTTCTTGCAGTATTGTACCATGTATTTACTGGAAAAGGAGAACGTGTCAGTGTTGCATGGTAGGTAAAGAAATTTTAGTTATTTGTCTTCCATCTCTAAGTTATTTAGGAATGCTTACATAGACAAATAAAATATTAAAAAAAAACATTTATAGGTTTTTGGAAGAAACATCCCCATACATGTGGGCATCCCTTGGTATTGGACTTTCGGTTGCTTTATCCGTAGTTGGTGCTGCATTGTGAGTTATGATTTTAAAAGATCATGACCTTCTTGTATTTTTAAAGAATAAAAAAGGTAATGCAAGTGAACGGTTTCAGAGGAATTCATACAACTGGAGTCTCCATTGTGGGTGGTGGTGTAAAAGCCCCAAGAATTAAAACAAAGAATTTAATTTCTGTAATATTCTGTGAAGCTGTTGCTATTTATGGCCTGATCACTGCCATTGTCTTATCTGGAATGATAGAGGAATTTACTTACAAAGATGCTATGGCAAAGGATGAAGTTCGCAGTCAAAATTGGCTAGCAGGATATTTAATGTTTGGAGCCGGTTTGGCTGTTGGTTTTGTCAATCTGTTTTGTGGTATAGCTGTTGGAATTGTAGGTTCTGGAGCAGCTCTTTCAGATGCTGCCAATTCTGCTCTATTTGTAAAAATTCTCATAGTTGAAATCTTTGGTTCTGCTATTGGACTTTTTGGATTGATTGTTGGTATTTATATGGTAAGTTACTTAAAAATATTAATATTTACCTTACTTTTAATTTTTTTATTAATAATTTTTTTCATTTTTATAGACATCTAAAGTAAAAATGGGAGATAAGGTATAAATTTAGGATAAAAATCAGCACCATGAATAACCATATAAAGTATTTTTTTGGAATCACAAAATTCCATTCCATATTTAGTAATCATTAAACGAAAAGTAGATGGAAACAAATAGAAGAGAAACTTAGAATTATTTTTCTGTTTGAATCAATGTAAAAAAATTACTTCTCATTTAAAATCAGTAGATCTCTGTTTCGAACAAGTGTAATTTTGTTACAAATAGAACTGGTCTTAAATAGTTGTTAAACTATTTTTAGCAATGTAAAATTATTGCTGTAATATTGTCACTTGTTTATGGTATCTTGAGTGCATTATAGCACTCTCTTTTGAACTTGTCTAGTGTATATATTTTTTTCCAACTAAACTGTATCAAATGAAAGTAATATTATGTTTATAATTATTCTTATGTGTTTCACATATGTGTAAAATATAGTACATATAATCTTATTAGTAGAATTCATTTTACACCATAAGAAAATAGTTCTTTATTCTTTCGACAATAATAAAAAAGTTCTCCAATACCATTATACATATAAAATTCATGATTGTATATGTAGTTAACAGCGATATAAAATTCGTATAAACGTATAATATAGTTCAACAAACTTGAATGCAATAGTAATTAAATATCAATTATAAATATTCGATAGCGTTATTGTCACTGAACAAATACTTGATAAATATTTTTAAATGCCTGTTCCAGACATTTTACATACTTAGTAGAATTGCAATGGTTGTTATAACTTGTCACAATAGATCCCAGTCTTTTATCTTGAATCATGTACCTAAACATTAGCTAAATGTTATACATAGAATTTCGTAAGGTTACCTTATATATTAACAGATTACAAGTGATATGTTTATAAAAACAATAAAGAAAATGTGTGTCTCACCCAATTCCATATCCATTGTTTACCACTGGTCCAAATCCACCAGCAATTACCGCCGGGCTTGAAAGAGTCGATGTGGATAGGATATTATGATTTATATTATCGTATGCTGGATCCTCAAAAATAGCTGGTTTAGGAGCACTTGATTGTTCCCAAATTTTTTTTAATGCAAACAAATGCCTGTCGAATCCTTGTCCTATCAATGTATGAAAACATTTTTTAATTTCAGCTCTAAACAATATTTCGATAGTGTAATGCCAGATGTAATTGTGCATTATAGATACCCATAGCAGCTTCTTTAGTGAGCTTATTATGAACGTTACTACAATTAATTATTAATTGTTTTAATTCCGAATTGGATAAATTGCTATTTTTTCTAACCATAGCGTCGCATACTGCTTTTGTTTCCATTGTGCAAGACCTAATAGTTTCTGTTCGTCCGTGCTTAAATGCAGCTGTACTACAAGATTCGTATGTCGCTACTGAACGTTCATCCTGATAGTATAAAGCTAATTGAAAAGCTAACTGCATGATCGCATCAGGACTTACTCCAAAAGTTTTACACTCGTCTTTACCAAATTTCTCCAGTATTACGTGATCTATACTTAATTGTTTCGTCCATTCTTCGTACTTTTTTGTTTGCCTATCAACAATATTTTGAACTTTATCATCTACAACAAATTTAAGTTGTTTGACATTGCTTGTTCCACTTTGAAGGTAATTGACATCATTAGGATGGAATCTCGGTTGTTTTGAGATATCATTTTTCACATCCTACAAAAATAAATATAGAATATTACAAATTTTTCTTCTCTATTCTTATAATACTCACATTAAAAAATCTTAGAACAGCTACTCCATCTCCCCATGAATGTTCAAAATTTACTCCTGCATATCCATCTTGCGTGACAATTAAAGAAAATGACTTATCAAACCATCTATTTGTTCCATCTGCATGGAGGAATGTCCCAACCAGTTTATTGTAATCAGTGCCAAGACACACATCATCTAGTATCATCATAAATACAGCTGAGTCTATTTTCTTCAGAAGGTCTTGATTACCAATTTCTGACAAATGTGTTCTAGTATTAGCCCACAAATTACGTTCTGCTGTTGTAAGTACTCCAATAGGACATTCATTAGCTGGTCTATTGTTTTCTAAAATAGATTTCAGGCAATTTGCTATGGTTTTTGGTTCATATATATAGCCATTTTCATCTAATACATCAATAGAGTAGAAATGTCCTTTTCTCATTACAATTACATGCCTTGCAGATGTATTTTGATAAATTTCATCTTTTTCTATTTTTGGCAACCTTGTTGTATTAAACAAGTTGTGATATTGAGACATATCCAAAGGATAGGCCTGTAATAAGAATTACTTCTAATAAGATAATATTTTTCATCGTCTACTGAGAGGTTATACCTTTCAATTATTTTTTATTTTTTACTTATTCCTCTTTTCAAATTATTATATTATTATTATTATTTATTATATTATTATTATTATTTTATTATACTATAGTACTTTTATGTCCTACATATAAAACAAATTCACCTTGAATAAATAAGCTCCATACCAACTGATTCGAGATGGTAACAATCTTGTAACAGTATGAAATAAATCTGTATCAGACTTCTTGGGATTTAAGTGGAACACTTCTGGTGGTAGAATATTCTCCTTCAATGATTTCATGAATCTTAATGATGATATAAGTAGATTTGTAGCTTTCACTAACTGTGCATTATACAGTGAATTGTCTTCTGGTGCAAAAACTATGAAAGGATTGTAATTGATAGGTAAAGGCTTACGATCTCTTAGGTACATGTCAAACCATGGTTCACTAATATAGCTAGTATGAAGATTTTTGACATCTTTTGCAATAAGTTTCTTTTGCAAATCAATACCAGATTTAGTAAGAAATTCATTAACATAGGATGTAGTCTTGTCCAATTGTTCATTAGATAATAAAGGTTTTTGAGCATTTAAATATCTTTTGCATGAGTCCTCAAGCTTAGGAATAGGCAATCTTGGTAGAGATGGTTGAAAATGCATTGTAGGGGTTTTGCTTTTTTTAATATATTGATATTCATCATTTCTTTCAGCTATTGTGCTCCTATAATAGGTAAAAATATATTCGAGAGAAAATAAATTTTTCTGTTCATAGTGTTCATATATTCTACATATATTATGTTACATACCTTGATGCCTTAAATACTAATACTACGTTTTTATTACCAATCTAAAACATGAATGCATTTTGAAAATAGTCTGTTCAATATATTGTATAAGAATTGCAATATATTTACCAATTTTCCTTTACAGTAGTTATGTCTTGCAGGTAAGGAGAACATACTGCATATAAAAAATAATTTATTTCTTCCTACACAATATACTATTTCATAAAATACAACAAGCCGAGCAACAATGAATTATATGAGTAAAAAAATGTATCGATATATCGCTAATGGAAGTAGAGAATGAAATGAACTGTTGGGTTTGGGTAGCGTATTATTAATTATAAGTGTACGTGAACGTACATTTGCATAAATTCAATTGAACATTCTACATACTGCATTCTGTATGTACATATATATATATATATTCGAATATATTATAAGTACTTATAGCATAATTAGAGAATTTCTATGTAGTCATACATTTCTAAACAGTTTGAATTTAAATTATTAATTCAAAATGGGTAGCGATTTGTAGTATGTTAAGGAGAATTCACAATGATTCATAAGAAAATATTTAGGAAAACGCGTTTTTCAGCCAATGATAAGATGCTGATAACAATAATTCGAGCGTTGTAATTGGTCGCGCAATGAATGCATCATGATCCATCCAGAAAGAATAACACTCAGTGACGCCATACCTGCGTTGCGTTTCATGGACCAACTAATGGATCGGCATCTTGCGGTAAAAAGGATGAACTAATTTTGGAACCCTTACCCGAAGTTTGTAGTGACAATAATTCCCACCGTCGATCATAGGTGGCGCCACTGACATCTTTATCGATTACCCTTTTTTTGTCATAAATGTATAATTAGTACAATTTATTGCTTTATAACACTACAATATAGCGTTAATATGTAAAATTTACTAATCGTATGAATACTTATTTAATTTGACAGTAATTACTAAGCCCTTTAGTTAGTGGCACCATCTAGAAAACATTAGAAACTATTTTCACTACCAACTTGAATGTTTTCCCACGGATGGCGCCACTAATACAAAAACTTGCTCAGGAGCGTCTTTATGGTGGGCTTTCTGGATGCACCCAATGATTCCATGGCTTTCCCGCTTTTTAGAATGCTGCAGCAGGAGTGTAATGATACATTCGATGAATATAAATAATGTATTGTGTGTGTTTCGACTAATTTTCTTAAAGTTTATAATAACTTTGTGTTATCTCTGTTAAAACAGTTCAAATGGATTTTTAATCAGTTAAAATTGTGTCTTAGAAGAATGTTGGATGTATTATTAAGTATTTGCGCTGAAAAGTTTACCATTCTTTGTGAAGATATACGACATTGAAATTAGAAAGATTTGTAGTGAGGTGAAGTGAAATTTAGTATAGTATGAAGTGCCGATAACAAAAGACTTTAAGACGTACTTAATATTGTTTATCGAAATATGAGTTGTTACTGTAGCTATAAACTCTGTACGAGTCATAACAAATTAAGGTTAGGTATGCGTCGTAAATTGCATATTATATCCTCTCGATACGTTACATTGATTACATGAAACAACATGTACAATTCAGGTAGTTTAAGGACAACCTCTTTCAACATTCTAATGGTGCATATCGCCCTGTGCATATATTAGATATATAATTCTAATATCTACACGATATGTTTCTATGCTGATTACTCCAAAAGATATAAACATGTTAGTATACGTGGATCTACATCGATCATTACCATTTTTGCAATTAACAATTACCCAAAAAAACGAATGAAATTTTAAATATTTAATATTTTATAGGGCAGATCGAGATTATGAAATGGGTTCAGCTACAGAAACGATGGTAAATGATTTTGACGATGAACGCACTTTAGACGAAGAAGAAGCTTTAGAAGGTAGTGAAGATTCTCACAACGAGTTGTCCAACTTGCAAAAGGTATAATTCTGCGATGTCTGAGCAAAAACTTTAATATATACGATGTTCACTTTGTAACAAGATTCTGATCCCAACTATTCTAGGATCAAGCCTGTGAAATGAAAAAATCAAGCCCATAAATAATTACAATTATGATAAGTTTCTACAACACTTTGGACTCAAAGTGCGTTCTTGTAGTGAGATTCGTATGTTTAGTCTATTTGTTATATCCGGCTTGATGATCATTTGTGTTCTTGTCTTCTTTCAGGAAGGTGATATGCCACTAAAAGATCTACTTGCAATGTACGGATACGGAGATCCGTCGACGGAAAATTCGAACAGTTCGGATCGAATGTTAATTCCATCTGGAAGCGGTGATCCGGAAGTCGAAGGACAGTATTCGGATAAGGGTGACAATGATGCGGACGACGACGACGACGATGACGAAGCAGACGCAACTAGTAACGAGCCAGATCTCAAACAATTTTATACAGAAATGTTGGTGAAAGGAAAAGATTCGACGTCCTTGGTATCAGGATCAACGATAAAAGGAAGCGGTGCCAGTAGCGTAGGTACTGGAGACAATAGTAGACGACATAGGATTCACGACGACGATGACGACGATGAAGAAGGTGAAGCTGAAGAATGTTCTATGATCGATGGCTGTAGTAACAATGAAAATGCAAGAACGACTACAACGATAGGAAGTACTGTTTCCGCTAAGTGTAGCAGTATAACTGGACTTGGAAGCTGTACAACAGACGATAATACTGTTACCGGAGTAGAAGGTAGCGTCGGAAGTGGCACGGTAGACGGAGGAGAAGATGGAATAATTAGCAGCGGTATAGGCAGTGGTACTTCAAGGTTACTGCGAAGCGTATCACGACCACAGAGCGAGGAGGAAGAAGACGATTGCGATTATAGTCCAGATGAAGAGGATTGGAAGAAGACAATCATGGTTGGTAGCGATTATCAAGCAGCTATACCGGAAGGTCTTTGTCGTTACGATGACGCATTACCTTACGAAAACGAGGACAAAATGTTATGGGATCCCAGTCATATACCTGAAGAAGAAACCGAAGAATTTTTAGAACGGGCACAGTTACCAGCTGTAAAAGGCGGTTCTCTACCTACAGGATCTCACATTAGAGACGACGAGCAAGCATTGTATCTATTGCTACAATGTGGTTACAATCTTGAAGAAGCTTTAAGAAGACGTAGAATGAACGTTGTGCCGCCTACGGATGCAGTTAGTCTTTGGTCGGAAGAGGAATGTCATAATTTTGAGTCTGGATTGCGAAGTTACGGGAAAGATTTTCATCTGATACAAAAGAACAAGGTGCGAATGGTACTTAGTATTTTCTCGAAGAATGGGAAATAATTCTAAGTAACGTTGCTATTATTTTTATTACTGTTACAGGTCAGAACGCGATCTGTTGGGGAGTTAGTGCAATTTTATTACCTGTGGAAGAAAACGGAGCGTCACGATATATTTACGTTCAAGGCTCGTTTAGAAAAGAAGAAGTATGCCTTGCATCCTGGCATCACGTGAGTATTTTCTCTATCCAGAAATATAGCACCGTTTAGTCTGTCTCTTTTATTTACATTTTTCATCGTATCATGATTGAAAAATTGAAGTATGACAAGACCATTGAATCGTAAGCAGGGACTATATGGACCGATTCCTGGAGGAGCAGGAGGGTGTTCGCGATCGCAGCAGTTCACCGAATGTTCATTGTTTATTGTACGGTGACGCCAAGCGACAAAGGTCAACCCCCAGCGTTGCGAATAACGATGAATCAAAAGCTACGGAACCATGGGATAGTGCTGCGGTCGATCCTTTAGCGGATCTCAATGGACCAACACCACCCCCACCGCCACCTCCACCTCCACCTCCACCGCCGTCAACGACAGCCACTGCCACCGTTTCACCTTCAGGTTCGGTTTCAACTCCATTGACAACACCCGCGTATTGTACTCCGTCGACTCGACATTCGGACTGTCCAGTGTCCGACACCAGCTGCACTATTTCACACGCTTGGCCGAACTTGACATCTCGGAGTAATTCTACCTCCTCCATCGTGACGACGATCACCATCAATACGACAACAGCCAGCACCACCCCGACAGTTACGGCCGTTGGAATCGCGAGCACGGTTACAACCAGTTCCGTCGTCACATCTGTTACCTCGAATAATTTTTATCATTCGCGAGCGACGTCGAGAAGCAACGATTCCCACGATTCACCATCGCCAGAGAACATTTTACCTCATTTGCCTCCTTAGCGTCAAATGCGACCTTCGGGTTTCCAGCCTGGAAGGCGTCAAATGTCAATGCGCGACGCGTTCAACTCATCGATCGCGTCACCGCTATCATCGTAACATATAATATTCGTTAATATCACGAATTATATTTTTATACTGTATCGTAGTATGACTATCGATCGCGGCAGCGAAAGGAGATTTCTTTCGCTAAATGAACAGAGAGGTATTAAAAGTACGTTAGTTAACTGAAAAAAAAGGAAAAAGAAATAAGAAACAGTCGAATGGTAAGTCGCATGTGGACACGAATTGCTAAGCTTTTTCCATTTTCTGCTTTCTACTTTTCGATAACTATCTCTATCGTTATCCGTAGATAAAGTTTAACGAAGAAACATGAGTTTAAATTATTTACATCCATTCGCGTTTTCAGATTTATAAACGTTTAAGTGTTATCCAAGCGAACAAACGATCAATTGCCATCACAGAATTGTAACACCTGGGGAAATTTATAAAGGGTAACCGTTAACGTTATCTTATCACGTGTCTGAGTGCTAACTGTACAAAAATCCAGTTCCACGATGCGGTCACATGAATCCGACGAAGTAAGATCTCTCGATAATCGTTTGACATGTTTAAATTAAATGAGATTCGCTGAAAACTTGTTCCTTCTTTTATTTGTATCGAGGAAGCATCGAAAGTGTCCAAGTGTCTTTAAAGATCGATACGAATATCGTTCGTTGGGACACTTTTATAGTGTCGACGGCAATCACCCTCGATTTATTCTTTTCATCAAACTTTTTTTATCCTTTATACGATATACCAAGCACGAAAAACTATAATAAAAATCGTTACTTTATTAAGAATTCCAACGTACACCAAATTATAAATCTTTATTTTTTTGTTTGTACACTACCGAATTTTGTCTTCTGTTTCGTTTCCTCATCCACCTTTCCTTTGTCTTCATTTAAAGCACACACGATGTGCTCCATTACGAAATACAATCGTCGCTATCGGTACTGCGTTAAATCCAAAGATTCCACGACGGTTTTAAGCAATTTACCCATTAATGGTAAAAATTGTACGTTACTGATATTGATCGGGAACCGTCCCGTAGTGAAAACTTTATCTTCCAATCTACCGCGTTCAGACTCCTTCAATCTCGCTGGTAAAATGCTTTGCTTCGGATCAAATGGCTGATCGATTGTTCTCACGCTTTTGGTACCAGCGTTGATCAACGATCCTTCGACTGGCCAATTGTCAGGCGTGCCTAGGTGTTCGAGAAAATCGAAGAAAACTCCCAACTCCGTCACCGTTTCGCGCGCTATCAGTTGACGGTCTCTGAGAGCGATTCTGGGACTCCTCACACCTTCCAAGGCTTGGCACAATATTAACACGAGATTGATCTCTAGCGCTAATCTCGTGTTGTTTTCGTCCATAGACTCGAACCAAGGATCACTGAACTTCTGATATTTAGCCACGACGGGGCTGCTACCATTGGTTCCAGTAGTTGGTCCGCTCCCTTTGGTCACGTGTCTGCCGCTGGTCAATGCCGTTGCTCTCGAGAGGATAGTGTTCTCGCAAATGAGAGGATCGTAGGGTCTCCTGACGAGTCTTGGGCTGCTCAGTAGAGGCACCGTCACGTCAAGACCACTGACGTACACTAAAAATTCCCCACCCACGTTAGACCTCGAAGCTGACCCTGAAGCTGCGTGGATGATCCTTCTCAAATCTTTGCTCGAATGCATTCTCCTGTCCTCTGGCGTGGCGTGCTCCCATTCTCTCTTGGCAGAATCCATTTTGTCTGATTGTCCACCAAACGACCCTGACGAGGAATTCATCGGTTGAGACCTAGAGTGAAGCGCCTGCGTGAACAACTGCGTCGAGCTAATGATCGTACCGTAGGTTAACCGTGGACCAGAGATCATGCTCATCAGAGGCGGGCCAAAGTTCATCTCCGCCATCGGCGTGTACCAGAAGTCTTGCGTGTATATAGTGTCCACCAGGGTGTTCAGTCTCGGTGAGAAGTGAACGAAGGTGAGCGCGCAGGTGGTGTTTATAACGATCAGCTTGTTGACCAGCAGTCTCAGTTCGCCACTGGGCGATCGTTTGTCGCAAGATTCCAGCTCCTCGGCGTTTTCCATGCTGATTCCGTCGATAATGAACTTGAGGATCCGCGGGCGCAGTAGCAAGTTCACCGTGTTGTCGTACGCCAGGTACATGCATTTGATCAGAGTCTCGCAGACGTTCTTTTCTATCGCGTTCCAAATGTATGGCGATGTGGCCATGATGTGAATGAGGGCGACTAGGGACTGCACCAGGTCTGCAGCCAGTAGGTCTGCTGTATGTCTGAGCAACGTCGAGGCTACCATCAGCTGATACTCGTGGGAGTTGAGGAACATTACGATGGACTTTATGTACATTGTGGGCGCTTCTCTGGTCACGAGACCAGTGAGGAATTCAAGGCCAAGGGTGTACAGCGGCCACCAATCCTGGCAACGCCATTTTCCGTTTGTACAGTCGTCGTACAGGGAGTCCAACATGCTGTTACCGATGTCCGCGGGCGGGATTAGGCTTAGCCATAGATTGGCGATGTCTTTGTCGTTGATGGGGTGCAGAGTGTACGGCGAACGGATGATTAAGTTGAGTAGGTTCAGCGCGGCTGTGCTGAATCTTAGATAGGGATACTTCTGCAGCGTGATGCCGATGCAGGTCATCAACTCGGGTATCATTAGTCGAAGTTGCATGCATCCAGACTTCCGATAGTGTTTCGCTAGAGAGCTTCGTTCTACGTAGGAACGCAACAGCTGCGTGACCATGCAAACGGCCAGGGTGGCGGGCAAGCTCTCCCGAATTCCACGAAGAGTTTCGGCGTTGCTTTCATCGACGTTCTTTTGCACCGTCACGCTGCCAATGGTTCCCTTCTCGTCCACCGTTCGTTCGATAGGTTGCCGTTGGCTTCGTTTCATGAATTGAACGGCTGCTTCCCTCAGTTCCTCCAATTCGCACGCGGCGATCGTACAAGAATGTGCTAACAGATACTCGAGGCTCGTCGCATCCTCGCGCAAAGTGCTCTTCACACACTGTACACACCCGAGGAGCAAAGACATTAGCGTCTGACGCAACGATTTTCCATAACTGCGATAGGCTTGGGCTACCTCTTGCATCAGCTGCGTCAAGCCCGTCTTGAAGATTCTCGAGTCGTCCACGCACATCTGTTTCCAAGAAGTAATACATCGCAGGGACAAAGAAGCTAGCAACATTGTAATTTTCCTGCTACCAAGATCGTGCGATTGTTTCACTCGTTCTAGCAACGATTCCAACGAGCGTTGCGTTATTAATTGCGCTTGGATCACGTTCACCGGATAGTTGGTTGCGATTCTTTCGTCGGTTAACGTGACTATAAAGTTGTACCATGATTCTAAATTACTTTCATACTGCGAATAAATGATACTCGTGTCTTGTTTCTCGTAATTACTCGATCTCTCGCTTTCAGGATGCGCATCTTCGAGTATGTAGATCGCCAGTTTCTTCCAGTAATCTTTCGACTTGTCCATAAATTTTCTCAGGTTCATCGAGAAGTCATCCTCAAGCACGGAGCTCTTGAACAGCTCCAAGGTAATTATATCCAACAGGTGGGAGTAACCTTTCGCTCCTGGCACCAGGTCTCTGAAAAGCGGAGCAAACAGGTGAGTCCAGAATTTTTCTCGTTTTCGGAAGAAATTAACAAGAATTTCGTTCCTGTGATACCACATCGCCCGCAACAGCGCCATCGTGCTGTTATACAATTTGTCGCACACAATGTCCTCCTTTTCGTAGATTCGATTCATGTATTTCACCAGAAATTGCCTGCATCCCTCCGTGAAGAACTCCTCCACCGATCGTGGAAAGATCCGTTTGCATTCCGCTGGGTGCACGATGTTGAAGAGTGCTTCCGTCAAGCCTGGTTGTTTTTCCAGGCAAACCGCGACTAGCTCGAGAATGGCGACTTTAACGTCTGGCACGCAAGTGGGCGACATTAGTCCTCTACGAGAGGCAAAAGTTTCTCGGATAGCTGTACCGTCCATACCCATGCAAACGAGCAGAGACATAGACGATCCTTCGGCGAATTTTTTCAGCAGTCTAACGGCCATCGCCTGCAATGGCGGGCTAAACCAGACGTAGAGATAATTAACGATCGTGGGTACTATTAAAAGACCGTTGGGTACGCGAGGTGAAGAGTACAAGGCGGCTTCCAACGGTGATCTATTTCCAGTCTCCAGACCCAACGATTTTCGGAAGATCAGCAATCTGTTCACCACCGACAGAGCCAACTGTACGCTTTTGATCGCCTTGAATCCTTTCCCGCGAATCCAATCCGTCTCCGCCATCATTTTATTGTGCAAAGTACGTTCACCGGTGCGGATTAATTTTAGCAACGCGTGTCTCGGTTCCAGATACAGTAAACTGTATGCGACGACCAGTTGTAATTCGTTACGTATGTCTTCTTTCGATAAGCTAGACTCGAGAGCTCTGTGAAGACAAAACATGCTCTTCAACCACAGGTCGGTCCTCTCCGCGTCCGAATTGAAATACCAGGAATCCAATTTTGGCAAAACGCCCTGCAGTAGAAACACCATACCTGGTATCTCTACCGTGTATAAAGCTTCTTCGTTGTACTTCCTGATTAAATATTTGGACAGGATGTCCAAGTACGCGTTCAAAATCGGATAAGAATGAGCGATCGTCTCTATGGAGGATAACCAGGAAGCGATTATACCGCCGTCGAACGAAACTGCTTCCGCGAAGTCCAATGTCTTCTGATACCGGTTGTTGAACCTTGGGTAGACACCTGCGCGCATTCGAGAAAGGATTTCTTCGGGATACTCTAGGACGAGTTCGGACGAAATGCTGATGCACGCGGCTACGATCTTGTATATGTACATTTTGTCCTCGGGTAATACTGGATAGGAAAATCTGTTGATGATTTCAAAGCTCAGTTCCGTTGGAATGACCATACTTTGCGGTATCCCTATGTACTTAATTACTGTCTTTAATAACTTCAGGCCCTGTGAAACAATCTCGGGCAAATTTTTAGTCATCTTGTTGATGTTTGTGTTTCCACCGCCTGCTTGAGAGAAAAGCTGTTCTATCTTGTGATGCAAAGCGTCCCAATAACACGCTTTTTGCCGAAATATCACCACTTCGCGTTCACTCGATAGTATGCGTATGTTTTCGCGGAAACAATTTTCCGATATCGTGTACGAGTTTTTGTGAATCGTGCATTCTTGTTCGTATGGTTTGAATGTTTTGTTATGATCTCGCTGCCGAGGTACTTCCAGTGTCAATGACTGGAGATTGTCCAGTTCCTCCGCGATTGTTTTGGCACTAGTCTCGGACGCACTCGCCAAACCAATTGCAATGTTTGTTAATGGTTCGAATTCGTATGGGAATTGTTCAGCTGCGAATTTGTAGATCAACCATAAACCGTCGTTACGTTCTTCCCAAAACCGTGCTGCCGTTTTAGGAAATTGAATCGTAGCAGCAACGGCATCAAAGATACCATGCAGCGCGCTCAATTTTTCTTCGTCGACGAAAGCACACACCAAGGTGAGGAGATTGTACACGCTACTGTGCACAACTTCGGCATAATGAGTCTTTTCACAGACCATTTCGGTATTCATTAGGTCGTGCAAATAATGGAAGACGTTAAGTTGTATGGCTTTGATACCAAATGGTTTGAATCTGTTCAATGTATCGACATTTTCTGGATCGATCGCGTAATTTGCTAGCATCCACGATAGAAGCAGTGGACTGTCTTGGGGGGAACTATCGCGAATGCATTTGTGCTCAAAAGTTTCTTGCATGCTATTTCTCACGCTCAGTACCCAGTCTTCCATGTCGATGCTGTAAAAAAGTGTATCGTTATCGTTTTAATTATGGTGGATTTCAGAAAAGGATACAAAAAACTTACTGTTTTCTGGCATCTAACGCTACTAAAAATAGGGCTGCTTGACTGTAATGTATTTCTTCGATTTTCCTGGCAATTGCTTTCTTATCTTCGTGACTTTTTGTACTTGCTAAGCGTTTTGGTTTTCCCTATAAAATCATCGAATCTGTTAAGTAACAATAGTATATCGTTGTGAACAGATTTATTTTTGTAGCATGATACCAACCCCGATGCTTTCGTAGAGTTTCAAGAATGCCGTATCCGCGATATGTATATCGTGAATGATGACAGTTAATATGTGAAGCAGTTCCCTCATTTCGATAAGACTGCTGTTATATAGTCTGTGTAAGTACTCTTCTGTACATAACTGCGACCTAACAGGTGGGTTCACAGTTTTCAACATTTCTATTTGTTTTTGGATAGACTCCAGTAACGTTCCAAATAAAACATTATCGAAAAATTTTGCAAACTCCTTCTGGTAACGATGTTCGTTGTCTTTATATTCGACCATAAGTTTAAGGCACTTTATCAAGGACATTCTTTCTGAGTAGTAAAAGTTCCATATATCGTCAATCAATGCTTTCATCGAAGTGAAATCTACGAGTTGAGATGCAAATGTTTCTGTGCAATTGCGATATTCATATTTTATGAAATTACAAACTAGATCCCAGGTAATTGTAGCATCCAAATTCTAGAAAAATGAATAAACTGGTTGTTAGAGTATTTAAACAACGGGAAGTTATTATAAATTTAGTAATACATACCAGAAGAGGAGCAAGCTTGCTAATTAATTCGTACATTCGCGGCGAAGGATCGTTTTTGGGTATGTTCTGCAGGGATGCTTCTGTATATGGTTTAAAAAATAAAAGACCCTCTTTGAGAAGTTTCGTTTCCTTTTTAATTTCATCTTCTACGAGTTGTCTCTCGCACCGGCATACCGTATCCGATATTAAGACCCATAATTCTTTACAATAACTGAAAGAGATAATTTTCATACGATGACAGCCATCGTAAGCACAGGATCGATTATTAACGAATAATAAAATCTTCATTTTTCGCGTTGAGACAATAAAACAAGGTAATATTTACTTACGGTAAACTCTCTACTGCGGGTGCCTCCATTTCAGACGCATCAATTCACGTTAATAACAAGATGTTTATTACAAATCTCTCGCGAGATAATTAAAATAACTTAAATTCTAATAAATACTGCATTTCGATGTTACATATCTGTTTTATTATTAGATGTTTTCTATTTATCACAAGCAACGATGTACGTAACCTCAAATACACCGTTGAATGTGCTGCCCAAACTGAAAACCACTTCACTATTCATGTGAAGCGGCATTGTCGATCGCTGATTGGTCCGTGGATTATTGGAGGGAAATGTACCGGAAGTCGATGCTCAAGTTGGCACCATTGTTCTTTACTAGCTGTGCCCCGCGGTTTCATTCGCGTGGAACACTATTTATCTTATGTCGTTCGCGTTCAACCGCGATTTCACGTGTGTGAAATACTTTAGGGGTTGAATTTCGAAATGTCCTTTCTTATTCCTTGTATACATCATAAAGGAAACCTCTGTGCAAAATTTCAGCTTTCTAGATTCAAGGGTTTAGCCTGAACATTAATTGTAATCAGTCAGGGTTTCATTCTTATTGTATATAGATATATTTGAAAAATGTTTTTCTTTCCTTGAAGCGCCCCCTCATGGTAAATCGTTTACTTAAAGTCAGGCATTTTGTTACCATTAGTCGACTTGTAGGGCAGTCGGTAACAATGCAAAAAATATTTGTAGATGTCTCAGATAAATTACTCGATCGATTAAACAGTCGTGCCTTCAATAATTCTTCCACGTTAGTTTCTATGGGAAGAAGCGACATCTAAGATATTTTCTCGTCTGCTCTAGGCAAATTACAAATTGCCCTTCTCTCTGTCTGTATCTAAATTGCTATGGAAGGAAGGTATTCGAGACCGAATGTATCGTGACATTTACGTATCCTACAGAGTGTGTCCAAATTCAATTACAAATTCAATTACACAACCATCTCGATTTAATGCCGAGCACGCGTCTGTAATTCATTGTCGCTCACGTCCCCTTTACAGTAATTCATAATCGCACACGTTGCTCACTGGGTAATGCGGGACTATTAAAACGTCGTTCTATTTCGAAACAGCTACAAAAATAAAATTAATGAATTTTTTCAGAGCGAGATTATACTTGATGGGGCTTGAGAAAACGAAAACGAACATTTTTTAATTTCGCTTGCTATTTTAATGCTCCCCTTTATTACTTTAAAAACGTCTTTTATTACTTTGAAAACATATTTTTGCCGAATTATAAAGGGCTCCCATGCTTCTCGATATAAATATCGTTATAATAAATTACGTGTTATAAGTTATATTATTCGAGCTATTTCCATTTCAAGTCTTGTAAAATAATTAGATTCTCTTTTATTATTATTAATATAAACTGAACTAAACAAAAAAAAATAATGAACTCTTTACTTTTCACTTGTCCTGAAACACTTTCAAGTCACGAAAAAGTTTGTATTTTTTACAAGGACTCCGACTGCAAGGAGTTAGTTATTCAATTAAAAACCTTATAATCGAAAATATACCTCAACTAGAAAATAAATTAACCAACCATTTAACCTAAATTAATACAGTATCCACGCCTCTATACTCAACAGGACCGGCGTGACTTTTTGCGGGGCCTGAATTCACATTCGAATCCTACACTTCAATTTTACAACGAGGAATGATTTATTTACAATTACTTACAAATTACAATTACAATTATTTACAAATAATAATACTTTGATGATTTTTGTCACTTCTTTCAATTTAATCATCGCTCCTAAAAAAATGTCTTGCATCTCAACAAAAATTGCTTCCACTTGTTAATGGTATCATCGGTCTGTAAAAAGTTCATCAAAATCGGTACCTTTTAATTCAGTAATTTTCGTAGACCGCGGGGTCTTTTGAAACGCGGGGCCGAGCTCTGGCGAACGCGCCGAACCTAACTTGCGCCGGCCCTGATACTCAATAACTAGTCGCATAAAAACATTACTAGTAGATTGAGAAAATAAGAACATTATTACTAGTGGGGTGTATTCGCGAGTTCAAATTTCCATCCCTTGCAAAAATTTGCAAAAATTTGCAAAACTTTCTACCAACATTTTCGCGAACATAATCGTGTGTCAATGACACAGACTAATCGACGAGATAGAGAAATGACCCCTGATAGAATAACAGCTAGCATATGGGGCGCATATATGCATCCATGGTCCACCTTTGGTTTTCGTTGAAAATATGTGTCTCTATAGACCTGAAAGGGTTAAAAAAATAATCATGGTGAAAGAATCCCGTCGGTTCCTCCCCGTGGAATAATCGTGGGGGAAGAAACGTGCCCGTGGGGAAAGAAGGCACGGGCGCAAGGGCGTCAGGGCGCCGACGCGGCCCGTCGAGGCGGTCGACGCCGCTTCGTAGACGCTATTCGTCCACCAGTGCACGTTCGTCTTGAACATAGAGCGCGTCGCGTACTGGTCGCGGTCGGGAAACGGTTTTGGCAAGCGTCGAGCTGCCGTGCGCGATATGTTACCGCGAGCGTGAGAGAGAAAACGTCGCGCAGGAACCGAAGGATATACTATATCACACCGCGTTTCCCATTGGAATTACTATGCGATCCTACGCTGCGAAAATTCTTGTAAATATGTTCGACCCTCCGCGGGAGCGTTTTTTTTTTTTTTTTTTTTTTTCGTTTATCGAGAAGACCAGGGAAACTCCAAAACGTGTTGTCGCGCGCAGCTCGAGTCATGTATCGTCCTTCGAAGAGCGTAATTGAACATCTGATTGGCATCGGTGTTTAATCGGTGTTTGCCAAAAATTCCATCCGTCCAATGTTTACTACGAACGTCTATGACCGTTCAGCGTGTTTGTACACTCAATTTTCATTTTACAGAACTGGATAACGCATACGCGTGTTTTTCTTAAGTTACATTAACCCGCGTGACGGGACTGTCGTCTGAGAAAATTCATTCTGGAGATCTGTTTGGAAAGTAAATAAGAATTCGTGGCATACAGAAACGAGTACTCCGAAAAAATCGCATCAGCGAGACAAAGTAAATAAGGAAACCGAGCTACGTATTCTGTCGCACAGCTTCTTTATCGCGATTCTCTATCACGATTTTCATCCATCGATTGTCGACGTCGCCAATGTTCCATCGAATACGTATGCGCGAGAACCATTTTCGAAATGATTGATTTTCGAAATCGTATCGAAGCAAACGATTGGCGCGATGAAAATGGAGTTCTCTCTTTCTGAATCGTACATAAAAAAAAAAAAAAAAAAAAAAAAAAACTACCCCATGAAACGAGAGTCGAGTGTATGCACGACGCGTGGATAAGTCTTGCGTCGGAGTTGTCCGCAGTGAAAGGGTTAATCGGGGGCAGTTAGGGGAGCGGTGTCGGGTGGTTTGCTAGCTCCGAAACCTTCCAAGTTTCGGTGATGGAAAGGATCCATCGATCGGCTCGATCGCCCGAGAGTGGGACAAAGTAGCGGAATCCTTAGTAAAACGATCGTTAAAAAAAATAATAAACAGAGCTAGACAGGAGAATCGTGAATAGATTGCGGACTTTATGCATATAAAATGTAAATTAATATAATAAATACAAGCTAAACACGAAGGAAAGGTATGTGCTCCTTATGCGAGGTGAAATAACGATTTTATTGTGTTAATTGTAGAATGTATTCAACATTCATTATGCATAGAAAGTCTTCTTTATTACTTCTAAAATCTGCAATCTAATCACGAACGAATAATGAAACGTCGAAACAAAAGAACGACGAACGTCTCGATAGAACCAAACGCGTTCAATAATATTTATCGTAACAAAGGGTTCATCGTTAGTTTGTCTTCTCGCCAGACGATATTTCTAGAAGTAACCTCTCCATCGATAATCCGTTCTCGCTAGCGCGGTTGTGCTTTTGTTATGCACGTGCATCGCGATTCTTGTTACCATGCATCCGTCGGGAAATACAGCCAGAAGGCGAAGCATTCTTCGACGCGTATCATTGGCAGCCGAGAAGAATGTCTCCACGGGGTAGACGCGGTTTAAATGATTCCGCACCGCCGCAGTGCATCGGTGGTTTGGTGTCGGAAGGTTGCAGCTACATAATTGATGAGTCGGAGTTAAGAGTGCAATCGGTTCGGTTTTCGAGTGTTTTCGTTAGCGTCAGCCCAATGAATTTATGAGAAGAACGGATCAACGAGTCCTCGAGATACTTACATAGTGGTATCGAGTATCCGAAGAATACTTCAGCTCGTTCTTATGATATTTACAAGTAGCTCTACTAGAAAACAGTAGCAAATGTACAATGGTGTATTTACACTTTGCAGTATTTATACTTTAAGAAGTATTTTAGGTGAAGACACCATAATCTGTAACAGTACTCAGTTTTGTCAATGAGACTTGGAATATGGTGGTAGCTGGTACCAACCTCCCGTGGAGGAATTACTTTTCGTTAGTTTCTTGTATTATTTGCGTTTTAGATATCAACCGTATTTGTTCAGGCATTTTTCGCTACCCTTTTATTATTAATCAATGTTTCTCCTTCGTAAATGCACAGGAAGATTCGCTACGTAATTATTCCATTAATGACGAACAAACATCCAGCAAGTTACCTAACAGTTTCTCCCAGCAGGATATCACAAAGAACATTCGACTCCTTTCAAACCGCCAGCTCACTTTTGCCTTTGTTTTTTCCCCACTCGATGCACCCATTGTAATCGTCTTCTTTCTTCCGATCATTTCGACTCGGATACTCGGCGTTGTTGCCGGGGAACGTTACACAATCGACTATTCGCGCATTTACGAAGGCACGACGGAAAATGGTGAAAAATGGTCGTGACAGAATTTAAGATACCGTCTAAAATGCAAACGATGTTAAAACACTGCGGGGGAACACTTTATGCAGGGGAAATAATGTAAAAAGAATCAGGTCCGCGAGGGTTGGAGCCAGCGATCCGTTTGAACCTCCCAGGCAGAACTGGGGAATAATATCGCTGGAGTTCACCCAAAAATATCCCCGCATGCAAAGTTTCGAACAAGTTTCCGAGGGGTGAGTCTCCCTCACCGGTTTCAAAATGTTTTCTCGTGAAACTACGTAACGAAATCGCGTTGGAAATATCGTAAGAATGTGTGAGCCCTCTCGCGGGTACATAAAGAATTCATGTTTGTAAATGTCGTAAGGATTTTGCGATCTATTTAAGTAATTGTTGCTTAGGATTGACAATCGAAGCTGTTAA